GCCTTAGAAGAGTGAGGAAAATCCTCAGGGACGACTCACACCCCAATCAGCTCTTCTTCACTCTCCTACCATCAGGCAGGAGATATAGAAGCATAGCCAGCAGCACCAACAGGCTGAAGAACAGTTTCTGCCCATGAGCTGTCAGACTTCTGAACAGAAAATAACTTCATGTCAACATAGTACGATAGACTTGGTGGTAGAAATGGTGGTAGACTTTAGAAGAAACCCTCCAATACTACCACTTCTTAAAATACTAGACAACACAGTATCAACAGTAGAGACCTTCAAATTCCTAGGTTCTATCATATCACAAGACCTAAAATGGACACCTAACATCAAAAAGGTCATCACAAATGCACAACAAAGAATGTTCCTTCTGCTCCAACTCAGAAAGCTCAAACTGCCCAAGGAGCTGCTGATCCAGTTCTACAGAGGAACTATTGAGCCTGTCATCTGAACCTCTATAACTGTCTGGTTTGGCTCTGCAGCCTAACAGGACAGATACAGACTCCAGAGAGTAATTAGGACCGCAGAAAAAACAATTACTACCAACCTGCTTTCCATGGAGGACCTGTATCCTGCACGAGCCAAAAATAGGGCTGTGAAAATATCTACAGACCCCTCACATCCCGGACATAAACTGATTCAACTCCTTCCCTCAAAACGATACTATAGAGCCCTGCACACCAGAACAACTAGACACAAGGACAGTTTTTTCCCAGACGTCATCACTCTGCTAAACAACTAATTCCCCCACACTGTCCAACTATTTACAAAGTCTGCATTGCTATTACTATTAACCTTCTCATCGCCCATCATCTCCCACTTGTGACTGTATGACTATAACTTTGTGCTTGTATCCTTACGATTTATATTGACTGTTTCCTAGTATGATTGGATTGCTTATTGTACCCTATGTGACTATCATTCATTGTTGTACCTTATGATTCTTGACTCTTGACAAATGTATCTTTTATTTTATGTATACTGAGAGTATTGGCATCAAGACAAATTACTTGTGTGTCCAATCACACTTGGCCAATAAAGAATTCTATTCTATTCTATTCTATTCTATTCTATTCTATTCTACTCTTCTCCATTCTACTCTACTCCACTCCACTCCACTCCACTCCACTCCATTCCACTGCATATTTTCTATTCTATTCTATTCTATTCTATTCTATTCTATTCTATTCTATT